GTGAATTTTCCGTCTATCTCGATGCCCCTGCAGTTAAGCTGCAGCTACCGTGTTTCCCCGAAAATAAGCCCTACCCATAAAATCAGCCCTAGTAGGATTTCCGAGCATGTGCGCAATAGCAGCCCCACCCCGAAAATAAGCCCTAGTGACGGGCGTGGCCACGCAGCGCGTCTGCACAACCCGTGCTTGTCGTCGCGGAGCGGGAAAGAAGACGAGCAGCCCTTCTCATCTGCCCCGTGAGAGCTCTGTGGCTCCACAGGAGAGATCAGGGCCAACTATTCTGAAGGAAATAGAGTTGCAAGAAATTCAGTATTTAATTTGGGGTTTGGACAGTTATGATGATGTCCCAGAAGAAGACGACTTAACTATTTTTGAATGAATGTAGATGGTTGTACCATACTTAAAAAAAAATAACACATCTCCTAAAAATAAGCCGTAGGGTGTCTTCTTGAAGAAAAATAAATATAAGACTCTGTCTTATTTTCGGGGAAACAGGGTACTTCATTTTTAAACACCCGCTTCCTGACGGGTGGGCCATCGCGTTGCCCCCAGCAAGTCCCCCTGCTGTGTTGACAGGTGTTTGCAAAGTCACCAGGGCCTGGGTCTTGGCTCTTGTCCTGCTGTGACCCGTCTCAGCCTGTGGGGCTGTCTGTGTCCTCCGGTTTACCTTTCACAATTTCCCGGTCTCTCCTCTCCCCACAGTTTCCGGGACTCCCCACTGTTGCTGTGCTTCTAGCAGCTTCCCAGATGCCTTCACACACGGGCCTTCTGCTGTGCAGCGGGAGGGAGGGAAGGGGGGAGGGAGGCAGATGGGCGGGCAGGCAGGGGCCCGGGGCTCTCCTGTCGGCAGTGTGTGGACGCCAACTGGGGGCTTCTGGCAGATCTTTTAGTTTCTTTCTTGCGTTTAGCTGTTTTCTGGGCAAGTGATGTTTCCAGGCATTGCGGCTTTCCGATGAGGGAGGTGTTGCCCTCGGCCGGGTGAATTCCTGGGCCGCGTTCTGAGCTGACCGCAATCGGGTCGCCTAGCGCAGACTCAAGCCCGGCCACGCCTGCCAGGCTGTCGGCTCTGGAGGGTATTATCTGGGGATTTTTTTTTTCGCTTCAGGAAGCTATTTTTTTTTTTTTTTTTTGGCAGCATGGGGGTATAATGTACACACACTGGAATTTGAGGAGTTTTGGCAAACGTATGCAATTGCGTAATTAGTGGCTGGGGAGAGCTGGCCAGGCCGTGCAATCAGATTTTGGGTCTTAGTCCTTCTGCGGCTTTCTGCTCACTTCCAAATCCCCCTGCACGTTTCCAGGTGCTCGGCCGCGCTCCACAGTCCCAAGGCTGAGATTTTCGGCAGCCGGAGCCGGGTGAGTGAGGAGTGAGCCCGGGCGGAGTGTGGGGTTCGGGGTGCGTAAACCATCACTGCCTGTAAACAGTCACCTCCTTTCACCAGTATCAGACTTGCTTGATTACTGTAGTTTTGAAATCAGATAACGTGAGACCTCCAGTTTTATTCTTCCTCTTCAACGTTGTTTTGGACTGTTCCAGAGCTTTTGCCTTTCCAAATAAATATCAGACCGGCTTGTCCATTTCTGTGGCAACCCTGCTGGGATTGGTTAGGATTGCATTGCTCCGTGGGTCGGTTTGGGGAGAATCTGTATGTTAAGGACACTGGATATGGTATACTGTGAGCATGGTCTCTCTCCGTTTATGTAGGGTTATGATCGTTTGGGTCCATGCTTTGTGGCAGCCAGCACACACTGGATCTTGTCACGATGTTCCCAAATTTATGACATTAAGCCATTCCCTGTTTTTTGGCAACTACTGGTGTTCCGCCCGAAAAAAGACAGCGTCTTATATTCTATGTGGTTCCTCAAGACAGACACCCTAGCTTATTTCCAGAGGATATAATTTTTCGCCCTCAACAGCCCTCAGCCTTTGCAACGCACGCACAGGATCGCCTGGGAGCAACAGGGGGAGCTTGACCTTGTTGGTGGGCTGCCCGCACCTTTTCCTGTCACCTCTGGGACACGGCACGTCTTGTCCACTGATGGGCAGATGAGAAGGGCTAGCTCCGAATCTCTTTTCCCGTTCCGAGACGAAATGCCATGCGGTTGTGCGCAAGATGCCGCTGCGTAGCCGCACACTGCACGTAGGGCCTTATTGTTCGCGTGGGGCTTCTATGGCGGCAAATGCCTGAGACGCCATCCTGCCTAGGGCGAGCGTTTAATGCTTATAGGTAGGGCTTATTTTGCGGAGGGAAACACAGTATTCTACACGACACTTAATAAATGCCAATTTCCAATTGTCTCTTGCTAATTATATAAAAAACAATTGATTATTGGATATTGACAGCGGAATTATCTGAAAACCTTGGTGGGATAAGCAAGCTCATTTAATCAGTACTCTGGCACGCTTCTTATTTTCTCCTTGGGCGATTTCTACTTAGCACATCTGTGTGTCTGTGAATGCAAGCAGCTGTTACGTCGGCGGACCGGCGTGCCGGGTGGCTCACGCCCTGTAATCTACTGCCTCTGGGGAAGGCCAAGGCGGCGGACGGGCGCATTGCTCGAGTCAGGAGGCTTCCAGACCAGGCCTGTCAAGAGCGAGACCGGCGCTGTCTCTACCCTATAAATACAAAGAAATTCAATTGACCAACTAATAATATCAACAATTAGCTCGGGGCCATGGGTGGCGCCATGCCTGTAGTCCCCAGCGCACTACGTGAGGCTGAGGCAGGCGAGGATTCGCTTGAAGCCCAGAACGTTTGAGGTTGCTGTCGAGTAGGCTGATTGCCACGCCCCTCCTCTAGGCCTGGCGCAAGACAAACCGGCGAGACTTTTTCTCAAAGAACACAAAAAAAAAAAGAAAGAAAGAAAAAGACTGTTGCATCTCTTCCCTTTCTTTCTCTGTGGCATCGTGTTCCACCCGGCCCGGCCCGGGGGGCGCGTGCGGGGGGGGCGGCGGGGGGGGGGCGTGGGCGGCGCCTCCCTTGCGATGCCAGGGCTGGTGGCCGGTGCAGTCAACCACGCTGTCCCCTCCCCCCTTCTCCCGGATATCGCAGGGGAACACTTCAGACTCTGTAGTGCCACACATGGGAAGCACTTTTTTTCTTGTAATGGCAATTTACCTCGAGATTCGACGAAAAGTTATCTTATATTGTTAATTCGCTGAGAGGTTTTTTTTTTTTTTTTCTTGTTCTCCCATGAATGGATTCACAATTGTTTTTGAGACAGAGTCTCACTCTCGTTCCCACAGGCCTAGAGTGCCTTGGCGTCAGCCTAGCTCATCAGCAACTCAGACCTCCTGGCGCTCAAGCGACTGCCTCCCTGCCAGCCTCCCAAGTAGCTGAGACTACAGGCATGTGCCACCATGCTTGGCTAATTTATATATATGTGTTTTAGTTGTCCAGCTAATTTCTTTCTATATATATTTTTTAGTAGAGACAGGATCTCGCTGTTGCTCAGGCTGGTCTCGAACTCCTGAGCTCAAACAACCGCCTGCCTTGGCCTCCCAGAGTGCTAGGATTACAGGCGTGAGCCACCGCGCCTAGCTGGATGTCAAATTTTGCAAAATAGTTTTTTTTTGCATCTATTGAGATAAACACATTTTCTTCTTTTAGTCTGTTGAGATACCAAACTGCACTGATTGATTTTCAAATGTTGAGCCAGATTTGCATTCCTGGGATAAACCCGGCTCATTTCTGATGTGTTACCTTCTTTATACATGGTTGGGATTTCCCAGCTGTCCTGTCTTTCTCTGGCAGCTGGGGTCCCCCCGGTCTGGACCCAGAACTGCTTCTCGCCCTCCCCAGAGGCGGAGGGTTTTGTTCCGTGCCCTGGAGGGACAGGCTTTGCTGTCTCACAGGCTTGTCCCCGGGGTGGGAGGGGCTGGGCAGGGCTCGGGGGTTTCCCGTGGCAGCGGCTGCTCCCCCAGGGCTGGCATCACGAGGAGAGTTTCCCTGACCCGCCCCGGCCCCCGTCTCGCCTGTGAGCTCCAGCGAGGTTTTAGCAAAGCCCCTGAGAGTGGTGCCAGCTTCCCCTGTCTGCGGCACCCAGGGTCACCCGCAGCCACTGAACTCTCAGCCGTGCTCTTCCTTCGCTCTTCCTCTCCCCTTCGCCGGCAGCCTCCTCTTCCTCCTGGGCCCTGCCCCGGGAAGCCAGGCTCAGGCCCTGCGTCCCCTCAGAAGGGGGTCTTGTCTTTGATTTCAGGCCATTTGGTTGCTCTGTGGCCTCACCTCTCTTCCTTCTTTCCTTTGGCAAAGACTCCTCCTATATCTTTCTTCAAGAGGAGCGATATTCAGGTCCTCACTCATAGTGTCTACCTAATAAACAAAAGGAGGGAGGGAAGACAGGAAGGAGGGGAGGAAGGAGGGAAGGAAGGTAGGACGCAAGGAAGAAGGAAGAGAGGATTCAAGAAAATTATAACCTTCTTGAATCCTCTCTAACGGATTCAAGAAGGTTACAATTTTGTAGATTATCTGGCTTTTTCTTAGAGTAAGAGTAGGAGTGATTCTCTTTCCAGTTTTTTACCTTCCAAGCTGAAGCTGGTTCATGTTCGGTATGGAAGATGTTTGGGGAGGACGGCATTAGCGGTGGAAAACTTGAGTGATCCGTGGGGATCGGTATGGACTTGGTCCACGGCTCCCGGGCTCCATTGTGGTCGCCGAACTATTGACACTTGGATTCAGGGGGCCACACACAGGGGCTGGACCTGAGGGCAGACCCCTGGCAATCCCGTGGGCTTCATCTGTCTGTCTTGCTCTGGACTCCCAGGCCAGGCTGGAATCAGACCGGCCCCGGCTGCAGCCAGGGGTGGTGGTGGCCACCCGGCACTGGCCGTCACGTTTTGGCAAATCATCTCTGAATGCGTTAACCCCGTCGGCGGACTAACTTTTGTTGCAAATCTCATGCCCAGGAGCCAGCCGGGGCCGACCACCCCATCCTGAGGACGCTGGCTTATGGTGCCGAGAAAAAGTATCAGCTGCTAACACTCACGGTTTCTGTTTCAGGAAGACAATTCACGAGTGTCTTTTAAGAAAAGGTTTCCCTTAAGACACAACTCAAAGAAAAAAGGTATGTCATGTATCGGTTGAAGACATAGAGATGTGCACATTCTATAATAACTCGGCCGTGGATGACAAACGGCTGGTGAGCTAGAGGCTGAATCTGCTTCTTGGACGCAGCCACGTGCAGAGCAGGCTCACGGAGAAAAGGTCTAACTCCCTGCCCACGCCTCCTCCCCGCTGCCCACAAACCCATGACGATATCGCCAGATTAGAATTCCTTTTCTAAACCTTTTCATAATTGTTTGCTTGTAATTCTTTATATGTGTGGCTTTGAAAGCAATTTACAGAGTTTTCATGTGTATGATTTTCTGGTGTTAACAGCCGTGAAGAGAAGAAAGATGATATATATTGCGGTATTAATTGACGGTACTTGGGAAAGCGATTTGCAAACTGTAAAAGTCCTTTGGTGGCATTAACAATTTGTCTTTTTATTAGTCAGGTATTTTACAGATGAGGAAACTGAGGCACAGATGGGGGTTGAACTTGAAATGTTGTAGCTAAAGCGCACTCACTGCTGTGTGCTCCGAGTTTGCAAGTCCCACGTCCTTGGCTAGAAATGGGGAAGCCAGCAGCTCGTTCCATAGCTCTGCTTCGTGGCTGAGGTCACTGTCAATGACTTTTGTGCTCTTTGGATGCAATTTAGTCCCCCAAGTAAAGCAATTGTGGCCCCCTTTTTAAGAAAATGTGGTGATTAAGATCCTGTGACATAGTTGTGTTCTATGAGATCACATGGTAATGAGATCACCTAACACAATTTGTGTTGCATCTCTATGGCCGGCCTTCCTTCCTCCTTCCTTCCTTCCTTCCTTCCTTCCTTCCTTCCTTCCTTCCTTCCTTCCTTCCTCCTTTCTTCCTTCCCTCTCTCCTTTCTCCCCTCCCTCCTGTCTTCCTTCCCTCCTTTTGTTTATTAGGTAGACTCTATGAGTGAGGACCTGAATATTGTTCCTCTTGAAGAAAGATATAGGAGGAGTCTTTGCCAAAGGAGAGGATGAGAGCAGACCTGCCAGTGCATGTGTGTGTGTGTGTGTGTGTGTGTGTGTGTGAGAGCCTCACTTCCCAGTGCTGTGGGCAGCCTGTCACTCTTCACCCATCACCCTTCACCCTTCACCCATCACCCATCACCCTTCACCCTTCATCCTTAACCCATCACCCTTCACCCAATACCTTTAACCCTTCACCCATCACCCTTCACCCATCACCCTTCACCCATCACCCACCACCCTTCACTCATCACCCATCACCCTTCACCCACCACCCTTCACCCATCACCCTTTACCCATCACCCTTCATACATCACCCTTCACCCTTCATCCTTAACCCATTACCCTTCACCCAATACCCTTAACCCTTCACCCATCACCCTCCACCCATCACCATCCACCCATCACCCCTCACCCTTCACCCATCACCCTTCACCCATCACTCTTCACCCATACCCTCCACCCATCACCCCTCACCCATCACCCTTCACCCTCCACCTATCACTCTTCACCCATCACCCTCCACCCATCACCCCTCACCCTTCACCTATCACCCTTCACCCATCACCTGTCACCCTTCACGCATCACCCCTCACCCTTCACCTATCACCCTTCACCTATCACCCTTCACCCATCAATCTTCACCCATCACCCTCCACCCATCACCCCTCACCCTTCACTTATCACCCTTCACCCATCAATCTTTACCCATCACCCCTCACCCATCACCCATCACCTATCACCCATCACCTATCACCCTCCACCCTCCACCCGTCACCCCTCACCCTTCGGTTGCAGTAGCCGACTGCTGTCAGAATCCGTGCATGGTCAACGTTAGCTTGACTTAACCCCGAGGGGAGTCCTGAGGGACAGCAAGTCATGGGCAGCGTGCAGGCTGTGTGTGGACGTGGGCGTGTCAGGGTCTCACTGGGCACGAGAGGACAAGCCCCTGAGACGCGAGAGGGGGAAGTCGGGGCCGGGGCAGGGTCTGCCTGGCGTGCGGGACGGCTGGTCTGGACCAAGGAGGCCACGTGGTCCAGGTCCCAGGACGGCAGTGCGGGTTCTCTCTGCGGGTCTTTCCTACTGTTTCTCCTCTGTGGACCAGGAAGAGTCAGACGGGCCACAGGCTTGCTTGGGACCTCCCATGCCTTATGCTATTTTGGGTTTCAGTTTCAAAATTTCACTGTAATTATTGATGTTCCCTGAATCGAAATCCTTCAAGAGCAATATCTTTTCAATGTTGGGGAACGTTTACCTTTGACTTTCCACTCTTCCTGGTACCTTAAGAGAAAAATCATCATTCAGTGTGACAAATGCCAACAAGATTATCAGAGAAGCTTTTTCTGTTTTCAAGAAAAGAGGTTTATAAGGAGGATCCCCCAGATAATAAAGTGCGAAGGTGGCCCGTGCGCCACCCTGGAGGAGAAGTACGTTTGGGCCCCAGATCGCCACCTCCCGGCCAGAAAGGAGCCCCCGGGCCGCCACAAGTAAGTCTCAGCCGCGGGTCTAGCCGCTGCCCCTCCTTTCTTTCCTTCTTTCATTTCTAACTGGAGGATGCTCTTCAGCTGACAGACAGTCTGCCCCCGAGAAAGGTGCCAGTGGCCAAAACCTAAGCCGTCTTCACCCTCCAGCTTTCCTCTGCCCTTTCGAGTCAAGGTCCCGAGTGCTTTTCGAAATCCCACGTGGTCCCACAGACTCCCATGGAGCCTTAAGTTTATAAGACACGTACTGAGCCATCTGGTGCCCCAGTGATTTAAAATGCGTATGGATTATACAACGCCTCTGTAGACATTTCCTTTGGAGTTTTATTTTCACCATCCCAACCCTGCCAGATGGCTATTCTCGTTTGACAGAGGAGAAAATACAGTGATTACCTGCCTTGTCTTTGGTGACAGAAGTGACAAAAGAAATGGCAGAAAATTCAAGTGACTCTCCTTCTCTTCCCACCTATATCCACTGCCGGGAAAGCACGTTCCGGGTGCTGGGTGCTGGGTGCTGGGTGCTAGGCAGTGGGTGCTCAGTGCTGGGTGCTGGTGGGGCTCAGCTTACTGTGGGCTCCCTCTGGCGGAGGGCTTGCCACACTGTGGGTTCTCTGCATGGTCAGCTCTGAGACCCCCCTCCCCAGCAGGTTGGCTGTGAGTTATTTCCTGCATTCTCTAGTTTGTTTCCAAGCGTCCCCTGGCCCTTCAGGGTTTGCCCAGTAGCTCTGTGGTTCAATTACGGCCTTCAGGGCCTTCGAGCAATTTTTTAATGACATGCGTTACACCAGGCTGTTGAAGTTAATCGGCCAATCCGAGGCCACCAGACTTTGTGGCCCAACACGAAGATTTATTTGGGAGGCGGGAAGGAGCCTATTTCACTCCTCATTTAAGAAACGTTGCCTTTCCTACTGAATGCTCTCTGCTGTCGGTGGCCATCCATCCTACCAGACTCTACAGTAGAGTCGGTGCTTCCGAACCTTGGCGTTCGCTGCCACCTGCAGCGCTTGCTCCCAGACCTTGCCCTGCCTGCTCAGATCTTGTGCGAGTTTACCAGTTTCATTTTTCCGGGAGAATGAGGTGATTTTTAAGTCCCTGAAGTTTTTTTTTTTTTTTTTTTTTTTTTTTTTTTTTTTTTTTAAGTTTGCGAGATCTGAATAGTCCCTGAAGTTTTAACTCAAGGCAGTAATGTTTTCTTTAGCTCACTGGGAATAATTTTTTTGGCTGTGTTTTATTGCAGTTATTTTTTATTTGGTTTTGAGAATTAGGACGCACAGGGGTATTTAAAGAGAAGGGACAAAAGAAACACGGGAAAAAAAACAACACCACCACCTTTTTATTTATTTATTTATTTTTCCGTTGTGGTTTTCAATCTGCTTTACTCTGCTTGGAAGTGCGCACGGTCCCGGCGGCAAAGCCGCGGGAGCAGAGCCGCCCGCCGCCCGCTGCGCTCGCGAAGCCTCTTCTTGGCCCAGCGCGGTGCCCAGGCACCTTCTTCCCGCCTCTCGGTCCCCGTGTGCCGTGAGCGCGAGGAGCGAGAGGCGGAGCATGGTTGGGCCGGGTTCCCACCCTGTGAGCTTCCCTTAGATGTCTCTTCTTCTTCTCCTTTTTTTTTGTCAATCGGGCAATGAAGGAATTGTTAAAACGTGAATTTTTAACATTTCTTACGATCACGCATTAGCTTGGCTCTGTGGTGACCTGCTGTTATCGTCCCTCAGAAGGCCGAGAGCCGTGGGGGGACGCGGGCCCTTGCGGGCAGTGGGGGGACACACCCAGCCCCTGCCCGGCCTTTCTGATCTGTAGGTTTCCGGTTCAAAAGCACGTCGCTGCTGGCTGTGCCTTCGCCACGCGCTGTCTGTTCCGACAGCCCCTTTTGGCGAGCGACAGCAGCCCTCTCCAAGCAAAATTAATCATCATGGTTTACTTGTCAATGCTCTTGCTGTGTCTTTGGCTGGGCAAAGCTACGGAGACTTACTCCCCCCGGCCGGGCCCTGCTCGGGTTCCCCGCTGCTTTGCCCGAGGCAGGGCAGTGAGTCCCGGATCTCATCTCGGGCCTTTCAGCCTTCGTGGTCCCTCCATCCCCTCCCTCGCCCCTGGGAGAGTGCGTCTGCGTCCCTTTCCTCTTCCTGCCAGCTGGGCAGCGGCGAAAACCTCTGCTCCGGGGGGCCGTCGCCAGCTACCCACGCCGGGGCGCGACCGTGCGCGTTGCAGGGTGTGAGGCTCCGCCACGCGCACCTGGGCCGTGGCCGTGGGCTGCCAGTGGCTCTTCCCGGAAAGACGCTGTTAGGGCACCTGGCTGTGAGCGCCAGGTGGGCTGGCGGGGGCGGCCTGCTCTGCAGGTCAGGATGCCAGCCAGGCAGAAAATTATTTCCCAGGGACGAGGAGAACGGAAAGGGAACCGAGTGGTTCCTGTGTGCGTGGGGGTTCGGGCGCTGCTGTTGGTGCTGAGCACGCATGTGGGTCCATCGGCTCTTCTAGATGCTTCTGGGAAGTTCCACAGACACTTGCTAGGAGTGACCTTAGCCAGCTGGGGTTTCCTTTTGGTTTTTACAAATTATGAGTGCTTTTATTTGAGGGGTTTATTGTTTTCTTTTTATTTATTTATTTTTGGCAGATCTGTTGAGTGATGTTCTGTGATCTTTTGCTCAGGTATAAGACGATGCTTAGGACCGCGGCATGGTGCAGAGGAGAGCGCGCGCCTAGCCTGCATCCAAAAGACCTGGCCGCCCTGGACCTGCTGTCACGGGGCTGCGTCGACGCGGGCCAGCCCCAGGGGCCTCCCGTCCTCATTGGTAAGATGAGGCCGAGGAATCAGACGCTGCCCTTTGGCTCCAGCTCTCCCAAGAGTGTGCATGCCCCACGTGTGCTCGCCCCACGTGTGCTCCAGCTCCCGGGTCTGCTCTGGTCACATGGGGGTGAGCGGGGAGCTGCGCCCCCCGGCCCTGGGCTGGACGGAGGGAGCCCCGTGGGGCCCAGGGGCTCGGGGACCCTTTGGACTGTGTGGCGGGATTGGCTTTGACCCGCTGGGGAGGCCGTTTGAGTTTGGAATCCAGAGTCTTTGCCTTTTCCCTTTATATTCTTTCCTTACTGCTGAATATCAGTCTTTTCCGAGAATCACAAATCTCTATTTCTTTCTTTGGTAGCAGAACTACCTCATTTCCTGTATAGCATTTGATAGATAGGAAGCCTCTATTTAATCTCCTATGGTAAATAATCTTAGCCTGATTAATGGCCTTTGGGGTTTTGCAAAAGATGTTTCTGAGCAACTGTAACACACGCTGGGTTTTTACATGGCAACTTTCTGAGCAACTGTAGCACGAGCTGGGTTTGTAATGCAACTTTCCTCAAGGGTGATCGGAGCCTGCCCGGCTATATACACACAGGTGCGCGAAGGAGGGCGTTTCCTTTGCCTTCTGGTCGTCATGGAAACTGGGTGTAGGCTCCCTGCTGTTTGTGGACAGCCGTCCTCCAAATGGTCCTGGAGGAGCTGTCGTTGGATAAACTGGAATTGCTGGGGACATATTAACATGCAATTGCAGCAATGCATCGCTACTGGCAGGGACTCGTTCTGAGAAATGCATAATTAGGTGATGTCGTCTGTCTGTGAACATCATGGACCATACCTGCACACCTGGCTGGCACAGCCTCCTGCTCACCCAGGCACGTGGTATAGCCGTTTGCTCCGAGGCTGCAGACGTGCGTGGCAGGTTGCTGTGCTCAGTACTGCAGGCAAATGCAACATAGTCGTGTGTGCGTGTGTGTGTATCTAAACATGTCTAAACATAGAAATGGAACAGTAAAAATACAGTCTTAGGATCTTATGGGGCCACCATCGTAGATGCGGTCTGTTGTTGATGGAACTGTCGTTACCTAGCACATGACTGTTTAAAACGAACCTTCCTAGTTTAGTCAGCCTCGCGTGGCAGGCACTGGGGTAGGCAGAGCCCCGGGGGCGGGTGCCGGCGTCAGGTGAGCCGCCCGCCTCCCCGAATGCCAACCCCCTCATCTACAAAAGTAGTTATAACGTCGCAGGGCCCTGCCGCGGCGTCAAATGAGCAAAGCGACCCGAAGATGTGTTGGGAAGGAAAACCACGTACAATGTGAGGCAGTTCTGTCCTTGACTTTGTTCTGTTGGGACGTCCCCGAGTTCTCCTCGTCTGTTCAACGTGCTGCGTGTACGGCCCGTGTCTGTGGCGTGGGGGGCCCCTTGTACCCGTGGTGCGTCTCCATCTGCCCTAATTTGGTTTCCAGTCCTCTCTGCACCCCTGAGCTTGGCCGGCCCTCCCGTTGACATCGGTGGTCCCCGTGCGCTAAACAAACTACCAAGGTTGAAGCATCTGCTGACACCGAATGGCGCGAGAAGGCGTTCTTGCCGCTTTCACCCTGTGTCTTTGCTTCGTTTCCCAGCACATTTCTCGGGAATCACACCTGTGGCTTCAGAAGTTTTCGTTCCTTTGAAATGCAGACTCCAATAGGTTTTTGTCAGTATGCATGAAAGAAGAACAAATAGCTTATAACCCCATCAAAATCTAGACTAGGAAGGAACGTAAAAGATCCCACGGCGCGGCTCCTGTGCGGTTCCTCTCCCGACGGGTGGCCGGTGGCACGTCAAGCCCTCCCGCGGAGGCAGGCGGCTGTTCCCCCTTCAGAGAGCTCTGCGTGCTCCGGATTGTCCGTAGCGTGGCGCCGAGGCCCTGGGGCCGTGCGCAGTGAGTCCAACCCCTCTGCCACGTGTTTTGCTTCAAACTCTTCGTTTCCATTCAGGGCACATTTATCTTGCATTTAGAGACAGTTTTTATGTTCCGCCTGAGTTTTTTCTTCTCTAAACCAAACCAAATGCTCAGCCCTTCCGATAGAGGGCACACGTCCCGATCTGTAGTCACTCTGGTCACGGTTTACTAGAATTCGACCCGGACAGGTGGCCCTGGCACTGACTGCAGGGCAGGGGCAGGGCGAGCCGGGCAGGTCTGGTGTAGACTCGGCGCGCCGACTCGTCCAGAGGGAGTTGAGACAGCAGCGGTGTTTTGTGAGTTCCCCGTGGCTGCTGTAGTGAATGGCCATGAATGTGGTGGCTTAAAACAACACAGGTTTATTATTTGCAGTTCTGTAGGTCGGCGGAAGTTGGGCTCGGGTCTCGCTGGGCTGCGGTCGAGCTGCGGGTGGGGCTGAGTTCCTTCCTGGAGGCTCCAGGGGAGACTGCGTGTCCTTTCCTGCACCCCTGGGCTGGCGGCTTCGTCCCCCGTCTCCGAAGGCAGCCATGTCGTGTCTCTGTGACTGTCCTGTGGCCACGTTGCCCTCTGCCTCGCCTCCCTGCCTCTCTCTGCCATGTCTGAGGGTCCCTGTGATGACATCGGGCTCGCCTGGGTGATCCGGGCTACTTCGCCTGTTTACTGGCAGTTCTAGTTTCACCTGCAGTCGAATTCCCCGTGGCCGTGCGGCCTGACGTATGGACAAGCTCCGGGGAGTGGTGCGGGGACATCTTCGTGGGCCCGTTATTCTGCTCCCAAAGTCTTCTCTGTCCTTTCAGGGCTTGTCCCTGTGTGACGGCACTGATGTTGAGTAGAGAGTGGTTTGGGAGACCCTGATCTCTCGACTTCTCATTTTTTTTTGAAAAGTAGACTTTATTATTTAGAGCGTTTTAGGTTCACAGCAAGATTACACAGAAAGTGAGATTTCCCATGTGCACTCCACCCCCCACCCTCCCCAGCCTCCCCTCCCCCACTGTCGACCTCTCCCACCAGCTGGTGCACTGGGGGTGTGGGGCGAGAGTAGTTGAGGCAGGTCTGCTAGGAGATCAGCTGCTTCTCCCCACAGAGCCAAGTCCCTAAGATAGGGGTCGCCACAGAGGATAAGGAAATTGATAGGCAACAGAGGGAAATTAAAGAATACACAGAGACTAAGGTATAGTTTATAGTTTTATATATATATATAAACTATATAGTTTATATATATACATAAACTATATATATATATATATTTATATATAAAGATCAGATAAAACACAGCAGGAGGTTCCTAGGGGACTGGTGTATCTCCACACCTGCCAGCCATATGGGTTAGATTCACGCAGGTTTTTATAATCACAGACATCAATTACCAGTTGTCAGGGTAACCTACTTGCATACCAGGGAATGCAGTTGCTAGGGGATACAGGTAGTGGGTTAGGGTCAAAAGTCCTCTCAAGGGGCTTCTAATCTATCTAGGTGAACAAACAGGTACAACATCTTTAGGGGCTAGTTTCTAAATTCTAAGAGGTAGTTGTCAATTAACAAAGGTAAAACAAAGGAGGTATAGTGACTCAATATATCTTTGACTAGTTATGGTGGACTTAAAGGTAGACAGACAGGAGAGAGCAGGAAGCCCACCTCTAATAAACAGGTTGTTTATAACCACTGGGGCACATCTCTGGGCAAAGTACACTCATTTCTCTGGCTCCCATCCTGTGGGCCATATTTGCCTTGTCTTTCAAGACACAGGGAAGCTCACAGATTTTGAGATACCAGGAAGTCTTCCTGGGAAACATCCCTACCGGAGATTTGAGAGCTCTCCCATGATAGCAGCCTCTAATAAGTGAACCACTGAGTCCACACATTCCTCCAGGGCACAACCCTGCAAACTCCTGTTTCTGTCTTTAATATAGCAATATCGGGTTATACAATAAATAATGATCCTATGAGCCACATTTCATTAATTCCTCAATCATATTTTCCCAACACAGTGAGAGTGGGTAAACCCACACTGTCAGGTCAGCAGCCGAGCCCACTGTCCCTTTTGCTGCTGCATACACCGTGGGTTTGCACAGAGGCACAAGGACTCGCGTCCACCACGGCGATGTCACGCGGACAGGTCGCTTGCCCTGAGCATCTCCCATGTGACACGTGCTCATGCCTTTCTCCCCCCCAACCCCCCGGGGGGCACTGGTCTTTGTGCTGTCTCCTCGTTTTGCCTTTTCCAGAATGTCACATCGTTGGAAGAATAGAGTATGCAGCTTCCTTCACTCGGGCATTGGCCTCTCTGTGTAAATGCTTCTGGGGGACCCATGCCTGACGCCTTTCTGCTACACCCAACTTTGGTGCCTTTGCCTGCTCGGGGGCTGTGGGAAGAAGTGCAGAGGTCACCTGGGAGGTCGCTGTGCCCAGCCACTTGCACACGAGGGGGCCCAGGACAGCAGGGCTGTGAGCTCCCTGGGCTGTGTGTCAGGGTCCGGCCACCCCCAGCATTTACGATTCCCGCCCAGCGACTGCCTCCACGCCCAAGGCTGTTAAACAAGCGACGGGTGGGCAGAGAGGAGGAGGAGGAGGAGGGTGGAGATCTGTGAATGGGTAAATAGCTTGGGTGGAAGGAGGAGCGCCCGGCCCCCGGGTTGCAGAGCACACTCCAAGAGGGGCTCAGGTGGGGAACGTGCAGGGGAGGGGACTAACAGGGATTGAGCGTGTAGTATGTGGCGGGCACGTGCGAAGTATTTTATTTACGTTCTTGCTCTTTGTCCTCGTGTGAGGGTTACCGCTGGGACGGCACGTGTCAGTTTTCTAAGCGTGAGTTCAGTGAGACTCAGGTGTGCCGATTTCCCGTGGGCAAGTTGAGAAGGCAGGTCTTAAATCTGGGTCTGTCTCACTCCCAGAGCTTCTGTCCTTCCTGTAAGTATGTGAATTCGCCTTCCCAGAGGCGACGAAGTGCTTCTCCATGCGTCGTGCAGTAAGTCCTGAGGCCGGTCACCCTAAGAGAGTGGACGGGCAGTATTTGGGTGGATTTATAAAATCTTCCCAGGAAACACCGAGCTTTCCTTTACTTTTAAGGACATGAAACCAGGACAACCAGACAACTCCTGGGGTGTTCTTGGCTCTCTCTCTCTCTCTCTCTCTCTCTCTCTTTGAATTATTAAAGGGACTTTTACTTATTGCTAAAACAGTATGAGGCAGTTTACAATAAAAACAGATAGAAAAGAAAGTTGAAAATCTTCAGAAGAAGAATAAAAATATGGACACTGAGCAATAAATGGGAAAGTCAAAGAGAGAGGGAAATTAGGGCACTCGTCTCTGTAAAGCATACATAGGACCAAGGTTCTCATCTTCCGTGGAAATCTCCAACTTCCTGCTTTATCTCTATTTTTTTTTTATCTGTCTTTAGGTTCAATAATTTCTGAATACTTGAGCTTCTAGCTGGTGGAAAGGAGTAACGGTGAACTAGATGTTTGGAGGCATGAGCAGCTTTAGACCCACTAAAATTGGTCACAGTGGAGTGGACCCTAGGGTCACTGATGTGACACCTTATCCGGTCTTACTTTCTCATGTTAAAACAGAAGGTAAGGGCAAGACTGTTGATTTTCAGTCTCTGCAGGGAAACACCAGAAAGCTCCACAGTGGAGAAATCTGACCAGCACCCCCAGACCCACGTTTGTATCCGGCCAATGCCACACTAAGTTATGAACTGGTGTGGATGTAAACCCTCGTGGTGTGAGGCAGTAGGATGGGTGGCCCATCCCCGTGGCCTTGTCCCCAGCGGCCATATTCCAGTTTTGTCTACGAGGAGATATTAGCTACGCCCAAACTGAGGGGCGTTCTGTGACACACTCCGCAAGTGCTCTTGGAAAGCCTCAGAGTCATGCAGAATAAGAGACCGGAGAAACCGTCACAGTTTGGGGGCGACGGGGGGGGGGTGTGACGCCTGATTACAAGGTCCTGTCCCGCACGGGACCCTGCAACGGCAGACGGACATCAGCGAAAAAACTGGTGGAATCCTAGTGAAGTCTGCGGTTAGACAGCATTTTACCGATGTTATAACAATTCCGGTCTAGCATACGTGCCGTGGTCTGTAGGGCGTCGGGGTCGGGGGACTCTGGGTAAAGAGCACTCGGGAACTCGAGGCTGGCCTGTACTTCTAAAATTGTTTCAAAATAAAAAGTTGAAAGCACCAGAACCTTTTTTTCCCCAGTGGAATAGTATGAGAAACCTCAGCCTGCAGGGCGGAGAGAAAAACGAGCTGCTTGGTTTAGGGAGAGGTGGCAGGCCGAGACCCACACGTGCAGGCAGCTCCCTGCTGCTCTCTGCGGCCTCCTCCCGTGCGTCCCGAGACAGCCCCGAGCCACCGGGGCTCCGAGGACACAGTGGGTACACAGGTGCACGTCAGCTGATCTTTTAAGGTCCTTTTCAGCTGAAAACAGTAGTCTGAGTGTCTCACTCAATCTGCCAAGCAGTGCATGATTAGGGTGATAACAGAACTCGCGGTTGAGCTGAATTTCGCCGGTAGATACGCAGAGAGAGAGGGAGAACCGACCGCGGGGTGCGAGGACCTGGGAGTGGTTCCCAGCCACACGGCAGGTGCTCCCTCCGGAAGGGTGAGCACGGGGCCTGCGGGTCTCAGGTCCCAGAGCGGAAGCAGAGGGGATGGAGATGTCCCACGCGGGGCCGGCCCTCGGCAGGAGCGTGGTGGCCGCAACGGCGGCGCAAATGGGCGAGGTGGCTCCAGGTGGGTACGTGGTGGTCCAGGTGGGGTTCTTTTCTCAAAGGTGGGGGCATCACACACGCCTGTGCCTACCTAAGGGGGAGCAAACTGGGGGGCAGCAGTGAGGGGCGAGCATCTCCAGGTGGCTGTGCGTGGACGCGGGCAGCCGTGCCGGCAGAGGGTCGGTGCTGCTTAGGGGCAGGGCGGCTCGCCCGGCGTGGCCCCGAGACGGCAGAGGCGTGCACGCGGGCCTGGCAGGTGGGGGCGTGCGGGTGGCAGCCTGCGGCAGCGTCTGCCCACGGCTCTCACTCTCACAGGCAGCAGGGGCCCCGGCGGCCGCGAGTGTGAAGGGGCAGGTGGAGTTTTGAAGCGAATGGAAGCGTGAAGCAGCTGCTTGGAGAGTCGCTCACGAAGGGCTCGGGCTGTGCCCTGGTGCTGAGGGACCCCTTGAGGGTCCGGGGTCATGAGCAAGAGGAGCGAGCCCAGCGGGGGACCGGGCCCTGTGGAGCATGGGGAGGATGTGCACGTGTTAGGGGTGGGGGTGGGGGTGGCGAGGGAGAGCAGAGCCACCGTCCGTCCGTCCCAGGGAGAGAGCAGAAGGCCTGCAGGGTGGCGAGGGGATGGGCTGGACCCTCAGGACTCATGGGGTCTGGGGTGTGGTCGTGCGAGTGGGAGAGACAGGACGGGCGGGCGTGTGAGCCAAGGAGCCGAGAAGCCGGGATTGGAGGCCGGTTTGTCTCAAGTAGTTACTGGGATTCCCCAGGGGTTATGGTGGGGGGCAGGGGGAGGGGGAGGGAGGGGGACCAAGGGCAAACGGGTCAAGGGGTGCGGGGTGGGCTGAGGCCTGCAGGTCACTGCCAGGAGAGGGGGGGCATGACAGTCTGGTGACAGGAACTTCAAAGAGGCCAATGATTACAATGATTTTTTTCGGGGCGGGAGGGTCCGAACACAGTGATGGGAGCGGAGAGACCACCACCCACGGCCACGTTCAGTGGTCCCAGCACATGGTGGAGGGGGGTTGGCCATCATCTGGGAGGGTTTATGGGCTGGGGACGGGTCCCCAAGAGAGTAGGACGTGGCGGCTCTTTTCCGTGGGGCACTCTGAAGGATGCTTAAGAGTCCGAAAAGCATGTCTGCGTTCTGAACCCGCCATCTACGTGTGGAAGTTCCTCCCAAGGCCACGGGATCAGAGGGACGTTCTTGTTCCTGGCTGTTGGACTTAATTTAGGTTACAACTGGCGACACCAAGGGGTGGGCTTATGATTTCTATTTTTTTTTCCATTTCTTCAGCTTTGCTCTGCTTTCCAGATTTTCTGTGATGAGCTTGTCTGCATACAGACCATAAAAATGTATTTTAAGAATAAAAATATCTACAGTGGTTGTGGAAGAGCTCATTAGGGCAACGTGTTGCCCCAGGGCCAAGGCGTCCGAGCCAATCGATCCTCAGGGGTTCTGTGGACTCAAACTGCTTCTAGACTCAACTCTCGATTCCCCTACAAGGACTGGGTACATGTCCCCGCCGGTTTATTTAGACGCGTTCCGGCCCACGCAGAAAGATCGGTTGCCTAGGCGATCGTTACCAACTACAACACTTGAACGCCGCCTCGCTTTGGGCTTCTAACTTTTCACAAACTAATTATCCCCGGAACCAAAACACCGGGCTTATTTTCGCACGTTTTTGAGCCTGACATCTCGATTCATCACTGGCAGCTGCGGGGTGTTCTGGCAGGCGCAGAAATTGGTGAAAGTAAAAGCTAGGTTTTAAGCCCCGTGTGGAAGGCGGGACTCACATTTCGCTGGAGTCACGGGGTCCCTGACAGCGGGGCAGGGCGGAACGGCTGTGGACAGAGGCGGCGGCTTTGCCCACCTCTTCCCGCCGGCCTTCCTGGCGAGCCTGGCTCTTGGTGGCCTCTGCCCTCCCCCTTGCGTAGTCAGAACCAGCCCTCCCTGGAAAGTCCTGGCTCTGGCTCTGTCCCACTCCGCTCCGGTTCAGATCCACCAGCTGCTGCTGCCAGCAGCGTGATCTCTCCAATCGGCTCTCCCACCCGCTTCTCCGATCCCGCCCTCCTCCATGCTGTCAGCGTCCCTCCTGCCCTCGCTCGTTTTTCCCCTCCCCCTTGCCTAAGCGTCAGGGCTGCAGAACCGCATTGCTCTGGTGCTTTGGCTCCTCAGTTCAATGTCACTGAAGGGCTTATTAGCAAAAGTGTTTCTGTGCTGATTGCACCAGCGGAGACCCTGAGACTCAGACCCACTTGGGCGCGTGCGTCTAGCACCGGGCAAACGTGTTTCCTGCCAGGTTGCCGAGCTGGGAGAGGGTCCCACACGCCCTTCGAGATACTCTGATTTGCTGGATACTCAGAATTGCCGGATAAGATGTTCGATGGGGCAGATCTGCAGAAAATTTTATCGCATTCATTATCTGCACTATACTTGTGTGTAGTAGCGTGTTCTATCTTGCAAGTGTTGACGTCAGTTATACATTTCTAGCTCTGGTGTTTTTCACTTTAGAGTATCCTGCTTTTATTGCGACTTGCCATCGGGGTTTTAAAAGGCAGCTGCCGTGCACGCCGAGCCGGTTTGCGTTTTCTAGTTGCTGGCAAAGCGCACCCAACGCCTGCATTTCACAGGGCACAGGACCGACTGGGACGCCTCTGTCACCTGCTACACCTGGGACGGAGCAAAGGAAATGCCACCACATGCCCTTGACTTCCTGCTATGAAACTGTATGAGGAAGACGCTAAAAAAATTTTTAAAAAAAACCTCAAGTAAAATATGCTTTTTTCTTTGAGGAAGAAAAATAAGACGATCAAAATTCCGCCAGTGCCCTGTAATCCCAGAAAGTGCATTTGCACAGTGTTGGCAAGGCTTATCTGCACGACAAAAGCATGGTTTTATTTTTATTGAAACTGGCCCTAAAGTCTCTCCAGTCAACATGGGTTACAGTTTGGTCATTCTTTTAGCCGTAGATCCTACGTTAAAATAGCATGCTTTGTAAACCCTTTGGTCAGCTCATTAATGTCCGGATTTCTGTCTGTTTGTTTTTTAGCATCTTTCAAGAACCTCAGCAAGAATAAAAAAGTGGTTTCGTTTCCTGGTAAGAGAACCTATTGTTAATGCTCATTTTACGGGCGCAGTGCAGGGTTGTTCCCCCCACCCCCAGTCACCCGTGACAGTGCCGGCAGTGAGGCCACCGTGGTCACTGCCCCACACAGGCGTCCGCCAAACTGTCCATGGACAGGCAGCTTTTGAATGAACTGCACTTTTATGACTATGCATGGAGCCCTCTCCAGTCTAAACCATCTTTTGTATGCCAATTTTTAGGTCAGTTGACAAATGAGGATTTTGACTCAACCATACGGTGGCGTTGTCAGTTGGCACTGTGGTTTGGGCAGACTTTCCATTGTTCAGTGATGCAATTATTTTAATGTTTCACTACACTTGCCCTTCTAATATTTTGTAAAAAAAAGGAGCAGAGAACAGAAAAATGAAACTGCTAAAACTCGTGATAAGAAGTACAGGTTTCAGACAGGAAATTTCAGACAAATAGAGGTGTGCTAAAGTGGCACTGCAAGTGACAATGTTTTAGCCACATTGAGACCTCTCTTGGATTGTAGGCTGAGCTCTGAAAGAAAACAGTATAGATACACACATATGCAATGCCAGAAATGGCTCACTGATGATTGCATTTAAAAGGCAAGGTGAACTTGGGAGTTTTTGAAAGTGCATTTTAATATATATATTAATACAGCCCAAATATTAGTTTATACTAATATTTTATGTAATTTATATTGCGTATTGTAGTAATATATTATTCATGTACATCTTAATGTCTTAAATCTATTTTTAATTTTGAACATTCTAGTCTCATGTGTTTTGGGGGATACTTTACGTGTGGGACCAGGGCACTGCTGGTCCTTTTGTTATTTAAGCCTTTGCTCTTTTATTTACCAAACATCGTCTGAGTTTCTCCCATGTGCCAGGCTAAACTGGGTGCTTGGGAAACCAAGATAAGCAGGACACAGTTGCTGCCCTCAATGGTTCGCAGTCTAGCGGTGAAGACAGGCCTCCTGCAGGGAACTGTGTGGCCGGGCGAGGGCAGCGGGAGGTGCCGGGTGCTGGGGGGGGGTCCTCCCCGAGGGATTTGCAGGGGGACAGCGTCCTCGCCCTAAAACATGCGGGCCCGGCCCTTTGTTTGGTGTACAGTCATACATGACGGTGTGACAGCCTGTGGTTTTTCTTCTGTGACGAATCCCCTCCCTTTCCTCCACTGTTTAAGCTCTGGTGTGCTAATGGGTGTCGCATCACGTGTGTGTCCTAGCTGCTCACAGCGTGCTTTCCTTTCCTTCTCATCATCATCCTGCAGTTCCTAAAGGTCCGTTTTTTTTTCCCCTGTCCCTATGTTTTAAAAAATAAGGAACAGAAACTTGGAAAGGGCAGGTGACTTGTTCAAGATTAGTCTGGAATTAGACAGAAGAGATGGGACCCACACGTGGGTGATCGTGGTTTAAAAACAGAAGGACAGCCCGGAGCTGCGGGCCCTGGCTGGGTGCTGCCTCGCAGGAAGGAGACTCACTCCTGCGTTTCTCTAGAAGCTCGTGAGCATTGGGGTTGGGGCACAGATGTACAAGCAGGAAAGCTCATGTGGTACATGTCAAAACAGAGGCACACGTTGGATACCCCAGAAGTATGCCACGGAGAGAGTGACTGGCTGGTTTGGGGAGAGAGGCTGCCGGGCTGGGTTATCCGTGTTATAAAGGGAGCTGGAGTGAACAGTGCAGGGTCTGCGGGACTCTGCCCAGCGGACGGTGTAGAGTGGGCCATGGGGGGCAGGATGGCCAGGTATCCAAGTGCCTGGAAGAGTGAGGGTGCGTCTGGGGAGGTGCTGACAGTTCGGTGCAGGTGGAACAAAGAGTGGACGTGTGTGAGGAGGAAGGAAACGCAGGTGAGGTCCAGCTCTCGGGCCCCGTCGGGGAGAGGAGCTGAGGCCAAGATGTAAAGAGATCGGCCCTCGAACCTCGGTGGCTTTGCACAGGAAGTGTTTGTTTCTTGGTCGCGGAGGCCTGCCGTGGGTGGCAGGCTCTCCTGGGTGGCTCCCCTCCACGCTGTGACTTGGGTGTCCTGTGTTGTGATCTCCGGCACACAGGCCCGAGTTCCCCTCGGGAGGAGAAGGAAAACTCGGACACTCAGCAGCGGCCCAGCCCGGGGGGAGCCGCCGGGTCTCCCGTCCCTGTGGTCTGAGCGCCCTGGCGGGCCCCACTCAGACGCAAGCTGGTTGGAAAGTCTGGGCAGCCCTGTGCACGGGAGGGGAGCACAGGTCTTTAGCGGCGGCCCGGCTGTCACTGCCCTGCCACGCCTGTCATTCTAAGGGTTTGGGTGGTTCTCCCGTAGGGATGTTAGCGTAGAGAGATGACGCGATGGAATTGATGGCTTTAAAAATCGCCCTGGCATCAGGGGAGGGTGGGGCAAGCGAGCACTGTGTACTCAGCGGTCCCCTCCCCAGGTGTGGACACCTGGACCGGGCAGGGTGGGGTTGCAGGCGATGGATTTCTGGGAGTAGACAGAATTGACCAGACTTGGCCAAAAATGGATACGGGGGGCGAGGATGGAATCCGAGTCGGGGTTCTGGCTTGGGGCCTGGGAGTTGCCCCTGGAAGCACAGGGAGGAGCCGGCCTCGGGGAGGCAGGGCGTGAGGCGGGAGTTGGCGAGTCTGCCGAGCTCCCTCTCGGGCGCCCGAGGCTCTTGCCTGAGGATCTGAAGATGTCTCTTCCTACGTTCTTTCAAAGGCCGTTGTTTTACAGGTTTCTGACGCACCCTTTGATTCCCTGCGCCAGGTGGCGTCTGTCCCTGTCTGGAGCGTGTGGCGTGGGTGCTGGCGCACGTGGCTGGGGGGCAGCGGGGAGCGCGGCCTGCTTCCCGAGCTCGGGGGCTGCGTTTCCCCGAGAACGCCGGGCCTGGGTTCTCCCTCGCTCTTGCTCGTCTCCTTTTCATTTCACTCAAAGTCCCTTCCCTAGCTCAGCGACTGGTAGAAAAGGCAAGAGTCTTTCCCATGACCTTTCAATCTTTAAGTGACTAACGGATTACGCCTCTTTAATTAATATTGGGCAACACACCTTCCGCTCTCACTTCTCCCCTACTGTCCCATCCTGCCTATTTTATGCCTGTTTGAGATTGCATTTCCAAAGGAGAGCAAAGGGGTGATGGTGCAGAAGCACACTGTGGGGGGCACACCCTAGGAGAACATTATTTTTGTTAGTATTGGCACTGTCACTACTTATCGCTGTAGCAGCAGCACTTGTCTTTTTTATGAATTATTTCGGTTGGTTTAGATGGCCACTGTGTTCACTGGTGATTTTGTTTTATTTTGTTTGCCGGAAACAAGAAAAAGAACCATATGATATTCTAGAGAGAGAGAATCCACTGGTGCTGCTGGAAGTCCCAGTAGAAGTAGAAGCCCAAGAAGAATCTCCGACGGGACAACGATCGGGAGGAGAACCATCACCAAGACAAGCGGAAACACCTGAGGAACGAGAAGCTTTTGAACAGTCACCCTTGATGTCGCCATTGCCAGAGGAAATCCCTGAGCTAGAGGAACTTGCCGGGCAGCCACCCTTGATGCAGACATCGCAAGAACAAATCCCTGAGCTGGAGGAACCCGCTGAACAGTCACCCCTGGAACAACCGTCCCCAGCACAGACACCTGAGATACAGGAATTCCCTGAACAGTCGTCCTTGGGACAGCCGTGCTGAAACCAGGTGACCCAGGGACCAGCACATCAAACGACAAATGCCACGACAAAGCGTCAACCCTGTCGTGAAGAGAAACAGAAGCTAGGAAGGACCACAAGGCAAATGAAAATAAAATTAGACATTTTTTCACATTATGCTGAAGAGGTATGCCAGTATAATATAAAAATTATGAATTTCACGTTTTGGTGGACAGCGTTTTTTTTTTTTTTTAAATATTTAAGGCTATATTCACCTAGAATCCCTTCCTCTATTTTATGGAGGTCGAGCTGGGTGGGGAGGGGGGTCAGTGAGCCACTCGGTACAGATCCCCCCTTCTTGGAATGTCTGCCCATCCCAGCCTTCCAGAGCGACCTGGCCATCCTGCAGGCGGTGCATGTTTGCATAGTTATCTATAATTTATTCTTCCTCTTTAACAGTGAATTAAGCATATTATGATGATTATGCCCACATATGTTTATATATACACACAAAACACACATGTACTGCATGCATACGTTTATCTATGTGTACCGATGCCTTACATTTCAGAAATGGACGGTGCACCCCTATGGAATAGCACATTTCGGTGGCTAAGAGAATGGACTCTCAAGTCAGACTACACATGTGGGGCTTCTCCACTCATTAAGTGTGTGAGCTAGGCCTGTGCCTCAGTTTACTCATCCGTAAATTGGGCTAACGATAATAACTAGCTCCGAGGCTGTTGAGACAGTTACTTATCATAACCCCTTAGAACAGTGCTGCACACAGGGCAGGCACCGAAGATGTTCGCTACTCCAGCTCCTTCACTTGGGCAGTTGTCTTTTTTTGTTATTCAATGAGAGAAGACAAGCATTGCAGTTGACTCTTTGTCAGCTGAGCTTCTCGACTGCCAGGACAAAAACGGCAACATGGATTTTAGGATTGTAAAAGTCTACTTAAAGAGCCAATCAGCTAGCTCTTCACCATCTGTTAATTAGTTATATAAACAGTGTTGCATATGGAGGAGGAAGAAAAGCTATTATCTCGCCACATTTGTAGTTTCTTGATGTATTGTCAGACTTGTCTATAGTATCTGCCGCCCTTTAAGGAGGCAACTGTAATCAAATAGAAACCATCTCCATCTCATCTTGAGCCTTTTAAAGTTAGCAAGTTCCTGCTAGAAAGCCCATCTACTTTGATTTGGCTCCGTTCTAAGTGCATATTTTGGTGCTTGAAAAAGAACTCGAGAATTGCATTTCCCGTTGCTTTTGTCCGTGACTTCTGTTCCGGCTGCCCTGGTGCCTGTGGTGTAGACTGGCACGCTGTTGTGGAGAGAACATGGACCAGGGGCTGGAGGCCTGGGCTGTATTCTGCACCCCACCATTTGTTGACCGTAAGGTCCTGAGCAATGTACTGATGCTCTGAACATTAGCTGTCTTCTAACAGTCTCATAGACTGCTGGAGCTGGGAACAAGCCTAGAGATTGCAGAGTTCACAGCACACACTGCACCGTGGGTCACCCACAGGGGTTAGGCAGTCATCTGGAGTCACGTGGGACCTCTAGCTGGTAGGTTGCAGGGGCGGCACTTGAACCCTTGTAGTTTTTTTTTTTCTTCTTCTTCTTTTTTGAAAATCTAACTTCAGGTCTGTTATAATACTCAACCTGCTTTAGTATAGAATTGTTGCACGATTCAGATGAAAGTAAACACTCAGCATTTTACTGGGGTAAAATAGACTCATTTAAATTTAATGGCTACATAACATGTTTTTAAGTAAATTTTTTTAAGAAAGTTAAAAATACTGCCTCTAGATGATGTCCACGTTTGGGGCTTAGTGTTGGTGTGGTCCGGGTCCTGGGAGGTGGGCTCACATAGCTCCTCGCGGAAGTTACTCAGGATCACATTTGAACAAACAAATGCAGATCCATACACCTCTCTTGTGTCCGAGTGTGTTTAGCCACTTTGTGCGGCGCTCACCGGCCGCGACACCTCGCCCACAGCCGGCACTCACAGTCCGCACGGCAGTGTGTGCTGCGCGTTGAGGATGAATCCGTTTTGCTCTTGTGTGATGAGGGAAGCTTGAAAGAGCTGGAAGCTTGTTTTACGTTACAGGCAGCTTTACTTGTCATGTAAGTCAGAATGGGTAACATATACATATATGTTTTCATTACGTTGTTTTTACACGTTCACAATTTTATTTTGATAAACGGAAAATTAGAAAAGTCAAGTTTTGTTATTAATGCTAAATCGACGCTGAACGCTGTTCATCTGTGGCTGTCATAGTCACAGCTGGCTGGCATGTTCATCTGGGCTGTCAACTATAGTCTAGCTCAGGCTGTGCAATGTTCCATTGTGGCGTCACTACAGTCGACGCTGCTGTGAGTCATCTGTGGTGTCAACTACAGTCCAGGCAAAAAAGCGGCTTGCATGTTCATCTGTGGCTGCGACTACGTTGACATGGCGGCAGTTTCTCTGTGGCTGTCGACTATAGTCTGACGCTGGGCTGTGTGCATTCATCTGTGGCTGTCGACTATAGTTGACGCTGGGCTGTGTCCGTTCATCCTGTGCTTCGACTATATTACGCTGGGCTGTGTGCGTTCATCTGTGTGTCACTATAGTCGACGCTGGCTGTGCGCGTTCATCTGCTGGCTGTGAACATAGTTGTATCTCGGCTTGTGCGTGTTCATCTGTGGCTGTCGACTATAGTTGAACTGGCTGTGCGCCGTTCATCGCTGGCTTCCGACATAGTTGACACTTGGTGTGCACATTGCACGTGTGCTGTTACTGCAGTCGACGCTGGTACGAAGGGTAAGCTGATTGCCAGAGAGGAGATGGGGGGGAGGCAAGAGGGACAGCGACTGCAACTGGAATGAGACACATAGCTAGACAGAACAAAACCTAATTTCAGAATAAAGTTTCAAGGTTGCCACCTGCCCGGTCCCCGAGTGGAGCATGCGTGTTCGTCGATACACGCTGTACGAGCTGGCCAGGTGCGGGTCTGGTCCCACCTGCTGCCTCCAGGAAAAGCCGCATCCGACTTAACAGGAACACCAGCTCCTGTGGTCACGGGCAGTGGCATGTGGCCAAACCACAGTCGAGATCTTCGTAACACTGCTTTTCTACGTCTTCAGATGGCTCAGAGTGGAAGCCAATAGATTAACAATATCATCTTTCTATCTTCCTGAAGTCAGTTTTTCTTCAGTCTTGGGGCTTCCATCTCTCATGTGGACGTTTTAACAGAGAGAAAAAATCACGTCTGGGGGAAGCTGAGGCCCCAGGCAGTGGCGTGGTCTCGAAAGCTAAAGATAAGGGTTTCCAGTTTAATTCCATATCATTCTGATTCCCTCTCTAGGTGATATTTCTTTTAGTAAACATTTAAAAGAATGAAATGTGGGCTGGGCGTGGTGGGTCACACCTGTAATCCTAGCACTGGGAGCCGAGGTGGAGGATCACTCAATCAGGAGTTTGAAACAGCCTGAGCAAGAGGAGACATGCCTCTACTACAAAAAAAAAAAAAAAAAAACTAGAAAGAAATTAATTTGCCAACTAAAAATATAAGAAAATATTACCGGCATCGTGGCCATCCCTGTAGTCCCAGCTACTTGGGAGCTGAGGCAGGAGGATCGCTTGAGCCCAGGAGTTTGAGGTTGCTGTGAGCGAGGCTGATGCCACAGCAGTGTAGCCCAAGCAACGGAATGAGACTCTGTCTCAAAAACAAAACAAAACAAAAAAAGAATGAAATGTAATTCTTTATCATCAAGCTCCACAAAGATCATTCAGAAAATTAGAGGAATTTGAAAAAAAAAAAACCCTGTTTGTATTTTCCCTCATCACTGTTTTCTTGAATATGACGGAAAAGCGTGTTCTCATTTTTTTATAACTTGAAAGTTCTCACAAAAGAGGTACATAGAACCTCTGCTATGCAAAGATTCTATGAAAATACTTCATCTTCTGAATCATTAATTAAAATTGAAGAGAAAAAGTATCCAAGGTTAGTTGGGAAAAGGATTTTATTAATTTATTTACTTGTTATGAAGGCAAAAATATTTATACAGCTTCATTTGACACCTTACATGTCTCAGTCTAAGCACAGAGATTTAACAGTTTTTCTTTAGCAAAGATTTGAATTTCAGAAAATTCTGTATGTCTTCAAATTATTCCCCTCATCTGTGGAATTTGGGGATTGTTTTGCCAAGACACACATATAGTTTCTGTGTCTCTATTTCGTTTGTATTCTAGTCATATTTAAAGAACCTGTAGGCTGTTTACCTTTACATTTTGGTTAGAAAAATATCATGGACTATCAACAAGGTTAAATTTTCACAGTAGAGACTTAAACATCTTTATCTCCAAGGTACTGAATGTTGTTATGTTAAGAACTTAAATGTATTTACTGCTATATTTATTGTTACATAGTTTTAACCACTGACTGCAGGCTCAATAGTTTCAACTTGTATTTTTGTTGATGCTTAACACAATGACTGCCATACAAATAAAACCAGAAACTTTTCCTTGGGTCCATAGCGTTTTATTATGAAAATAGAATAAAAAACCTTTAAGTGTAATTGAAAGTCAACATAAGTAGAAAAGCGAAATTTATTGACTTCTGTTCATTTAATCCACGTTTTTAGAGTTAAATTGCCAATATTAATTGTAAAGTAAGAACATCAGCAAGTGAGATTTGTATATGCTTCACACGGCCCCGGGATCGAAACTAGAGTGAGTTAAATACAACTCTCGTAGCGGTTAGTGTGAAATTAGCCTGCACGAAGATTTATTTTTAACTCCAAATGTCAATTGTCTGCATTGTTCTGAGGCTTATACTACCTTTTGAAAGCAGCCAGATTTTACGTATCATGTGGGTCCATTTCCAAAATCTTTAAAGAGTTCTAATAGCTTACAATTCCATGTTCATACATTCTACATCAAACTTGTCTTTTATTAAGAAGTTGAATGTGAACTTTTTTCCCCCATAAAGTAATTTTCTTTGTGGGGATTGTTTAGCGTTGTCATATTAATTCCCGAAACCTCCATCAGCAACCCCGTGGCTCAGACACAAGTTGAAATTTCTTCCTTAAGGGCACCCGAGTGGCTTAAAGTCTCATGCACTTGAAAACATCTGAAGGCTTTTAAGCATGTTTCTGTAACTTCAAAATGTATTAAGACCCTTTGTTTCTTTTTTAATAGGATAATAATGTGTGTTTCTCTGTTGGTGTCTGTTTGTGGGAAAGAGATTGTTAAAAGAGGAAAAGTCTCTGTTTTTTTTTTTTCTTAAAGCAAGAAAGGGGAGCAGGCGTGACCCCTGTTGTGTGTGTTCCTTGCTCAGTCAGCCTGCCATATGCACACTAGCAAAAACTTACAGAGAATTAGCTTTCTTCTGAGTTGCGAAGGGTACGCTAGGAAACAACGAATACGATATTTCTCCCCAAAGCGGCTCGCTTGCTATTTTCTTCCATTTAATGAGTGTGTTTACAAACTGCTGGCTCTGACTGGACTACTGGAGCCATTTCACTGACTGGTCACCTTGAAATCACACAGATTCCACGTTGGCCCCTAGAAGTTGGTGAGTAATAAACTAGCTGGCACCTTTGCGTTTATGCTTGAGCATGCCTTCAGAATATTTTGCACATTTTTTTCTTTGAGTCTTCTTCTCTGCCATTGGCCTTTCCTTTTTCCTGGAAAGGCAGTTTAAAATGTGAAAAATCTTACTACCACACTGAGCCTCCTACCACATGGCCATCAGAAAGATTTCCTACAGAGAAGGAAGCCACATCTTGCTTAGTTTTCCAATGCAGTTACATCTGGAATATGTGACTGTCCTCTTTTCGGTTGCCTGACGTGCTTGCCAAGTACATTTCACTGGGCTTATCTGTTAAGTGAATGGGTAGAAATAGAATAAAGATGTAAAACCATATTGGTAAAAATTAAACATATTTATAATTATTTCATAAAGCATTCCCATATGTTAGTGCCCACCAGCAGGCTGTATGTGTAAAATGTAATTGCATTTTGAAGAATTAGTTTGATGGCTAAATTACTAATAATTAGATAAGGTTGGTGGAGGTCACATACAGACTGGTTTTCTCTTACAATTTTATGTTCAGAACAATGAATAGTTCATTTTTACTGTGTTCACTTTTTGAAACTCTAATGTGAATGAGTGTTCTAGTTGATGTGTGTCTCCACACTATTCCATGGAGTATTTTTTTTTATCCCTTAAAGGAAGAAAATGATGAGTGAGACCTACAAAAAGCCCTGCGTTCAAAGATTCGCATTCTAGTAGGAGAAACAGAAGATCGCTGAATCTTGGGAGCACACAGTGCGGTTCCCACTTGCTTAGTCCTGGATTAAGGTAGAACGATCAGCTCCAGGGTAGTCCACCAGGGAAGGGAGAATCCTCCCTGGAAGAAGGTAACATTTTCTTAAATGCACAATGCCCTGCATTCAGTAAAAGATGATTGGGTATGATGAGACACAGGAATGCATCACTGAAAATCAAGAGACTAAACAGACGAGAAAAACACAGGCAATGCATATCACACAGGTGCACAGGAAATAACTTTCAATAACAATAATCAATATGTTCATCAGGATAGAAGGAAAAATAGAGACTTTCATTAGAGAAGTAGAGTCTACAAAAAAAGGAGCAAGAGGAAATCTTTATTTTTTTTCAGAAGGAAATTTTAGAACAGAAAGACACAATATCTGAGAGTAACTGTTACAAGTGGAAGTAACAACACGTCAAACACAGAAGAAAACAGGATTGGTAAACTGGTAAACAGATCGACAGAAAATATCCAAACTGAACAGAAAAAGAAAAAAAAAACAAAACCAGGAAATACATAAAGGAATCTAAGAGATGGCTGTGGACATAGTGAAAAGGCTTGATATATGGGGAATTGAAGTCCCAGAAAGACAGAAGGGAAAGAATGTGGCAGAAAAATAAGTGGAACTTCTGGGAGAAGTTACCTGGTAACAGGGCAGCAGGGAGGTGGGGGAGGGAGACTATGTGGACGCCTGACACCCCCATTTGAACAGGATGGATGAGATACACGGATGCAGGCAGGTCAGGGGTTCGATGGCGGGAACTTCCCACCATCGGGTCAGGTCAGCAATTGAACGTGAAGAGGAGATGTAGAAGTTTTAAGAGAAAGCAAAAGGTATGCAATAAAATGTTAAATAAACTTACAGGGGAAATGGGCAACGATCAGTTCCAATTTAAAGGTTGGATCCTGGTGTTTGAAAGGGAGACTGCAAGGGAAAGTGAAGATGGTAATACAGCTATCACCTTGGAAGATGAGAGAGATTTCTCTGGGACAACGTTTGCGCTCTTAGACGAGCGCTTAAGGAGGCATAAAAAGGAAGGCGTGATATTTTTAGACCTTTAGAAGTATTTTAATAATGGAAGTCAGGCTAGATAATGATAAAATTGCCTTTGAAAGGTAAGACCAGGAAAAGGATTACAAATTGCTAAGGATGCCAGGAAGAGAGAGTGGGGCCTAAAGAAATACAGCACAGGAGGAGAGACAAGAGTTTAAAGGGACGAAAGGGATGACTTCTTAAAAGTGAGGGCCTCTGAGAGGATGCCTCTTAGGGACGCAGGATCATGTGCAGTCGGATTGCAGAGTGCTGTTGCGTAGCCGTCTCTTAGAGACCTAGGAGCATATACGGTTGGGTTGCAGACTACTTAGAAGGAAGAATAGAGACCTTCAGGCACTACTGGATGAAGATGATGTGGTGTTTTAGGCGGGGAGTCAGATTGAGCATTCGCCCTTGGAAAGCAAGCATGGGTAGTTTACAAATGAGCTCTCTAAGGAAAGGTGCAGAGAACATGAGGGCTGCTGAGAAAGAGGCAGGCGCAGTAGTGACAGGTTAAGCCAAATCTGGGTTAAGTGGAGGATTGGGGAGAAAATATTTCCTGAGTGGAATTAGACAACATGGAGAGCAGAGAAGGTGCAAAATTTATTTGAATAATAGATGCTTTGGCAGAGTAAAAACTCAAAAATTTTACATCTCCTATGGGAGACCCCACAAGGTAAAAGCTGGGGGGAAATGTCAAAAACCAAATATCTGAGTGAGAAAAAAGGGAAATCCAAGATAGCGCGTCAGGTCCTCTCTCCTGTAAGCCCTCAGTCTCTGTGGTTGACACACACGACAAGTCCTTCCCTTGACTTCAGGGGGGTATTTCTTCCCCCCACTTATGGGAGGGAGAGAAGGAAAAGTTGACGCGCTCTCCATTGATCCAGTGACTAGGATGACTGTGTAACTTATTATCAGAACCAGGACACTTCTGATAGTGAGAAGGGCCACTAAAGATAATTTAATGTATGTGTGTATATGGGAGAAAAGGGGAGGGAGAGGAGGAGGAGGAAGAGGAGGAGGAGAGAGGAAGAGAGATTGATACATTGACCACCAAATCAGTTGGTGCATCTGAAGATAGTTCTACATTAAAAAAAAAATGTTTTCAAAACAAGTTTTTATATAAGACAAAAAAAATCTATGTACATTAAAGCAAAACAAATAGTTGTCTTAAATATTTATAATCTAAACTTAAAAAAAAGTAAAAGAAATATTCTCATACATATTCATGTCTGTTAATTGCATTTTTAATATTATCTTTATTTAATACTGTGTCCCTGGTATATTTTCCCCCAAAATATGTGCTTTAATATAGCCAATTTATTTTTAATTTTTTCACAAAATTTCCTGCAATTTTCTTCAAAGTACTGTTTTGTGATTAATAAATTTGAAATGGTTGACATCTCCAATTGATGCTCCTCTATATACTGTTATATTTTTAACTGAGAAAATATTCTCTCTAGAGGTGCTGAGGGACCTCACAAGCTCAGAGCAAATTTTGCAAAATGTAGAAAATCCTCAATTCTGTTTCTTTAAATGTTGAAATTGTAAATATTTCAGGCAAATATTTTTGGAGTTGCTGTCTTTGTGGCTCCATTCAGATGCCTTTTGTTGACAAGTATTTTTACAAGACAAAACTCATCAGAGAAGTTGTTTCCGTTGGTGATCCTTTTAATGTCTAAGAAATTTATATGCTGCAAAATCACATCGCCTCTCAATTTTATCCCACTGTGGTACAAAACAAAGCATACATTTACCCAATTAAAAACAGGTGTGCTATTAAAGCACACCTGTAAGTTGTGTAAGTAAGAGATAATTCCAGGCAAAGTTATAGAAGTTCAAAATCCACCTGAACTCTCATGTTGGACATGTTGAAGGCCTCCCTAGCTTTTGTAAGCATAAATTTCAATGAACTCCAGTTTTCAACCTTTCTTTTCAATAATTACAAATTACCAAAACTTCAAAAGTTGAAGGTTTTATCATTTAATTGTTGAATAATTTGATTAAAGCTTAAAGAATGATTTTGGACAAAATGCAAACAAAATTTAGAACATTTAAAGAAATATTTAACCCATTGTGGGACCCTTAGTTTGACTTACAACATGGTCCTCCAGAGCTCACACATTCCTACAAAGTGTCTGACAACGGTAAGCAAAGGGAGAAAAGAGCCTTTGGTCATGCTGACTTTTTTTGTTTAACAAAATAAACTTTACCCAAAACATTTTGTAGTTCATATGCCCTTTGGTATAGAAAAAAATATTAATTTTGACAATGATAGCTTGTACTCTGGATGTTAGAAACATACATGCACATCACAAGCAATTCCAAGTATGTTTCTGTTCCATGGGTCTCTTAATTTGGAAGGAGTGTTATTAAACCACAGCACAACACTTCACAGGATCCCACAAAAACATACAGTTTTGTCTTAATGTCTAATGTAACTGAGTTACAGTGGCATTCACAGTAAGGTCAGGTGCATTCATCTGCAGCAGAACCAAATCCCAAACCATTTGTTTTGTTCCATGAATGGGATGGAGAATCGAGCCACTATCCGGATTGGATTGGTGTTCTATCTGAAGCATTTGATGACGCCGACATAAAACCGGCACAGCTGAGCTCTTCCCCCTGTTCCCCGGGAGCCTGCCACCGCAGCTGTTGCGTCACAGTTTGAGCTTGCACAGGACAGCTCAGAGCGAGCAAGATTAATCCAGAGAAGTCATCTGATCTAGATGCAAAGGGAGAAGACGTGATAACCGGGCCAGTTTCCTTTTGGTATGGGGCGTCCCTGCAGGTCCTGCCTTCCCGCAACCTCAGGGCCCACGGGCAGCCCGTGCCGGTGACTGTCTCTGGTCCATGGTGCAGCGGGCTGGGTCCCAGAGGGGGCGTTCTAAGCACTGCAATCTGCTGAAGCCTCCACCTGGGCACATGCTCGGCTTGACCACAGGGCAGGAACGATGCCCCATGTGTTCTTCCATCTTCCCGCTTTGGCAGGAACATGAACTATTCCCGTAACAGGCTCCATGAACAAAGATACCTTTTGGCAGTTCTCTTATGTTTCGAGTTCCCAAGCCAGTAAGATGTGCTCACCAGAACTTTATAATTTTTTCTGTTTTCACCGATCCCTTCCCTTTTGAGTTGTTTTTCAGAAGCGGTGGCTCCTTCTTGCAGTCACAAGACAATGCGAAGGTCTTGCACTACCTGGTTGTTTAGAGACGTTAAGATAAGCCACATTTCGCCACAGATCTCGCCCAAGGACCTCCTCCCCACAGCAGCATGTGCACAAGGCCAAGAGGATGGCCAGGTTACCCCAGCTCAGTTCACTACTACGCCCTCTGTCCCGGGAGGGGCTTGTTCGCCATTTCTTGACCACGCGATGTACGCGCCACTGTGCTTGCTCACTGCGCTTGCGCCCCTGCACTCCACCCCAGACTCGAAACGATGCTCGCTCACTCCATGCATTATCCATTTCACCTCTAGAGAATCCCCTGACCCCATCAGCTGGGGAGGCAGATTCAGGGCTGTCCTTCCACCTCCTGGCCGACGTCCTCTGCCATAGATTTTCTTTCTTCCTTGATGGTCCTTGTCGTCTCAGTAATGGACTTTCTGTGCGGCGGACCACAGAGGGGAAGCCCCCGTTTGCAGGTTCCCTGATGTCCCCAGCCCCGTGTGGGCTTTGGGAGCCCACCTGCCTGTTTCTTCACGTGGATCCTCGCCCTGGGAGTTACTTCCCCTCCTGGGCGTGCAGAAGAGCTCTTCCCCGAGGGCCATGCAGACCTCAGAGCTGGGCAGCTCTGTCTGGGCAGCTCCCCTGTCCCTGCTAGTCTGTCTTGAGTCTCCGCTGCCCTCCCCTCCCTGAACCTGGGACTTCCGCTTCCTCATCTAGATGTCCAGGGTGTGTCTGGGTGCCCCCTCCCTGCCCTGGAACCTCCTCCGGGCTGGGCCTTGTCTGTCTCCCTTCGCTGAGGAAGTCTGTGTGGTCCTGCCATGCCGACCATCTGGGTTACTGGTTATCTGGGCAAAGAGAGTAAACTCCGGTGTCTGTGAGCCCCCCATTGGCCTGATGCAGATGTCCTGGGTTTTGCCTTTTTTAGATGGTTTGAAAGGGCTTGGTTTCTTGGCAGAATTTCTCTGTACCAAAGACAGAACATTCTGCATCTTGCCTTTTTTTGCCTTTTTGTTAAGATAAGAGGCAAGTTGGGTAAGAAATACTCGAGAGGCAGGTGGAGAGATTTTGCTCACCAAAGATAAACACTTATAGATTATGTAATTATTTTTCTTCCTGGGGAAATCTGAGTCAGTTTTTTTCCTGAAAAGCTGAGATTCAGGAGTCCGAGGGGAGGAATTGGAATGGTTCAGTATGTCTCCCTAGTTGACACACTCTCTGGAACCGGTTCAGCCTCCTTTCAGGGGCTCAGTGTGAGCAGGCAGACACCCAGTCTAACCGGGGACAGGGTTGCTTATAATCACTCGGCAGCAGATGCCTTACAGGGACCTGGGCAGAGATTTATCTATTCACCAAACTCTGGTCACACCAGAGCGCACACACACCTGCACGCGCACCTGTATGAACACCTGCACACAATGTAAATCTTTGGACTGTAAATCTTTATAAAAAGGCATCATGCATACTCGCCGGACATAATTGCCTTGACTCAGGATGAACATTAAAAAGACAAATTATTGCTTTATGGTGCATGGAGTGAAAAATCCACTTTAGGTCTGTAGGCTGCTATTTTTCAATGCGCCGTCTTTTTCTAGCTCTGCGCTGTGAGCTAGCTCTTCTTACAATCTATGTGGTGCTTGCCCAGACAGTTCCTCTTCCTGCCTATAATCTGCTACTTTCAA